TTTCTATTTTTCGAACAAATGGATGAATGGAATACGCAACAAGATGACTATTCCAAACCTCATCCTTATTATGAAAATTATTTTTTTCAGCATTTCTTGTCATAATATTTGCAACCTGTTTAGGATTTCTTGAAATAATAGAAGTTGAAATATGACCACCTGGGTCATTTGATAAAAGGCTCCTATATGCATCCATGGGTTTATTTTTCCCTTGAGCCAAAACTTGATCAAAAACATAATGCGATGATCTGTGAAAAAAAGATTTTGATTTTGTTGAATTTCCATGACATCTATCAACATATGATTTTTCATTGCCCAAGTAATGAATCAATGCTTTTTTTCCATTTTGCAACATATATTCATGCTTTTCAAAATTGTTAGTATATGTTTTACCAACTCTTGCGTAAAAATATGTCTTAGTGATTAAACCATTTCCTAATGCACAACTTTTTTTGTTCCTCCACATATAGACATCTGCTCGCAAATGCTTTTTTAATGTTTTGTCACTGGAAATTGTAAACCCATAAATTTCTCCTGCTTTGGGACGAACAGGTATAGTTTCTCTCCATTATTAAAATAAGTAGCATTTTGTAATAGAGTCAGAACTTCATTAAAGGTAAGTGTCTCTGTTTTTTTAGTTATGGCAGGAGTTGCTGCAGTTATGTTCAAAGTTGCTTTTGAATTTTTTGATGTCACAGATTTTTCTGATGTCATGGAAAGTGGAATAAAAACTTTGTCAGAAGTTTCATTATGCATATTAACCTTAATTACATTTTGATCTTTAAGGCTCGCATTTTTATTTAAATAAGCTGTTGATGTTTTATCATTGATTGTATTAGAATAACATTGATCAACAGGTATTATTTGCAATGCATAGTTGTGGTCATTTTGAAACACAAATAGAAATAGGTGTCTGAAACTTTCTAAATGTTGAAGGGAATATTTCTGCTCATAAAACAAAGATCTTTCTTGTTGGTTGGCCATAAATTTGAATTTTGAGAAAGAAATGTTCTTTTTCATAATTTTCAATTTTGAGATTCATTCAAAGATACAAAATATAATTCAGAAAAAAATTGGTAATTTTTTTTGTTGATAAATTTAAGTAAAAAAATAACAATAAAGGTAATAAAATTAATATTAAATACTTAGTAAAAACAAATACACATTAAAGGCATACATAAATTAAATTGTTATAGTAAAAACTGTCATATTTATTTGGGAAAATTTTTGTAAATGTTCTAATCTATCTAAAAATTATCATCTACATCTTAAAAATTTATTAAAACCTACATCTTATTATGATTTCCATAAAAACATAAAAAAAGTTTACACTATTTTATTAGCTTCATATTAAAATTGATTAAGATATAGGTCAATTTATTTTATCTTTTCTCAGAAAACTACATTCTAATTAACACTTTAAAAACATTGCCATAATCTTATCAACTCCAGATTAAATTTATTTAAAAACATAAATAAAAACGTGTATGTGTAACAAGTGAAGACTTTGCAATGTTATGCAAAAATAGTGTCACAATTCAGAGAACTAATAAAAGTTTTGCATTCTAAGAAAAATATTAATCCACTGGAAACTATGCGGATTAGAAATTACTTAATTTCAGAATCAAAAACTAATAAAGGAGTAGTTAAATTTCACAAATCTTTCATATATATATATATATATATATATATATATATATATATATATATATATATATATATATATATATATATATATATATATATATATGAATATATTCATTATTACCAAAATAGTAAAAATTACTGAAAAAACTGATGCTAACATTTAAAAATATATAATAGTCATAGTAGTAGTCAAACTGTAGCTGCGTTAACAGCAAGTGAGTTAGAAATTTAATTAGACAGCTTTTGAAAATATACTGCAATATAACTTATATATAACAAAATATAACTTTCAATAATATAATGCAAAAGATGAATAGTTTAAACAAAAAATAATTTTTAAGTTAATTTTTTTGATACTAAATATTTGTCTAATTTTCTCTTGAAACTGTTTACATTTGTTTACTTGACAACTTCCAATGGCAATGTGTTCCATAAATTTTCTGTTCTGTTTATAATAAATTCATGCCTAGAAGTTTATTTTCCAATTTTAACAAATTATTAAACTTCATATACTAATTCTTTTTTTTTCTATACAGTAACGAACTCTCTTCTCACTAGACAGTTTTACAATAATAATTTGAATAGAACATACCTTTAGGTACCTTCCTTCATATACAGCACTTTGCAAAGCTCAAAGCTTCTCCCAATGCTTGCATTCCTTGTCATTTTTCTAAACATAAACAAACAAGCAAAAAAACAAATTAGAATACTTATTAAGACTTTATTGAAGTTTCTTCAACAAGCTTTATTGAATTTTGTTGCTAAACTAACTACTCTATATTTACTTTCAATAAAATAAATATGTTTAGCAATCGTTTTAGCTTATAAAAGGAAAGTATGGCTGTTAAAAGTACTTGAGGTTTGTCAAACTGATAGGTCAACCATACTATTAAAACATTAAAGTTTAATGTCTTAATATTTGTTAGCTAACACAGATTAAAGATTAATTAATCTTTAATCTCTGTTAGCTAACACAAAATAAAAAAACAAATAGAAAGAAAAACAACGAAAATTTTACTATTTCCTATTGTTGTGATAACAGATTTTTATCTTACTGTGCATATTTAGCATTAGTGACAGGCTTTCCCCTTATTGTGCAGCTTCCGCTAAACTTACTTTATTGTTGCAGGCCACTATTATTTTGGTATACAACACATAGATGGCATAGCAATACAAAACTTATTGCTACATTATATTTTTTAATTTTAAATGTTTTGAATTTCATAAAATTCAAAACATTAATTTAAACTAATAATGCGGGGGTTGACTACCGGTTGTTCTTTGCTCGCATTCCGTTTTTTATTCTGTTACTCCAAGATGGTTTTTCGGCATTTCAGCTTTTTGGCGTTTTAGAATTCGGCGTTTTAGAAACTCTCAAATATCTTTAATCAGTAAAGTTACATTTATTCACGTTTCACTTTTCCGTTACGCAGTGAAATCTCGTAACAATGCCTGGTATCAACATTTAGAGTGGTAGCAACTTCAGTATAAAATAGTTGTTGTAGAAGTAAGAAAAGTTGAAGAGTTTACATATTGTATAAATATACCTTACTTATTGTATAAATGAGCTTTAGTTAAGAATAAAAATGTACTAGATTGTTTATATTAGGGAAACAGCTTAAAAGAGGAAGGATAAAGCCTAATGGTGATAATGATGATAATAAAGATGATGATGATGATCATGATTATGATGATGATGATGATGATAATGATGATGATGATGATGATGATGATGATGATGATGATGATGATGATGATGATGATGATGATGATGATAATGATCATCATCATCATCATCATCATCATCATCATCATAATAATAATAATTTTTCTTATCATTGGCAAGCTTTTCGCTTTTATGCTGTTTTTTGATGATAATGATAATGATGATTATGATGATCATGTTGATCACAATGATGTTCACATATGCATATATGTACAAAATATAATATGAAATTTAAATTTAAAAAAAATGTTCTTTAGGATAAATAAATGTTTATGCAGCACTGGTCACAAACCTGGCTTCGGCTATTTTTTATCAAACTTGATCCCGGCCCCGGCCCCGGTAAAATATCAACCCGGATCGTTTACTACAAAACATTTCAAGAATAAAAGACATTGTATTATTTTTATAAATAACTACTTATTTTACGCCATTATGACGATCTATATATATATATATATATATATATATATATATATATATATATATATATATATATATATATATATATATATATGTATATATATATATATATATATATTTATTTTTACTTTTTAAGTTTAATAATGGTCATTCTAACTCAAGAACATTTTTTTAAACATTTGCTTTCAGACCGCTGATGATACAAATTTTATTTTTTGATTTAGATTCTGTATCGCAATGATATCCTGGCTATCAATACGATATCGTGTAAATCCACTCACACACATAAATCTTTAAAAAAATGCCTAAATTTTCATCTATATATCTATAAATTGTATATTTTATATAAATTAATTGTATGTTTTTAAATATTTCATTGTATATTACTGTTTGTATTAAAAATCGATTTTAGAAATATTGCAAGTACAGAGTTCGACATACAATTTAGCTTTATTTGCCAATTCAATATATATCATAGCCTAGTTTAATTACATTTAATAACATTTTACAATATTTTCTCCAGCGCATTTAAGCGTTGATTCAACGTTATATTTCAACCTTTATTCGACGTCATTGAGTCATGTTAAATTGACGTTTTATTGCCAACGTTAAAAATCCTTGCTAAATCAACTGCTTTGACAACGTTGCAGTAACGCTTTTCAAGTAACGTTTTTTCAACGTTAAATTGCGACGCTAATGCAACGCTTTTTAATTATCACTTTTTCAACGTTTAGTTGCGACGTTTTTGTAATGACTTTTAGTGACGTTTTTTCAAAGTTACGCTAAAATGTTTAATCAATGACCCTTTAACAACGTTACATATCTTTGCAAAATCGATTACATTGTCAACGTTTCCGCAACATCTTTTGCGACCGGTTTTCAACGTTGATTCAACGCTGACATGTTTGCTGTGTTAACGTATTTTTTTATTTTATTAGTACCTTTAGTTATAACATTTTTTTACTAAATTTCTTTTTCAAAATATTTTTATATAACTTTTTTTTATCTCTCTCTCTCTCTCTCTCTCCCTCTCTCTCTCTCTCTCTCTCTCTCTCTCTCTCTCTCTATATATATATATATATATATATATATATATATATATATATATATATATATATATATATATATATATATATATATATATATATATATATATAAATAGATAAATATAAAAATATGTGTATATATATATATATATATATATATATATATATATACATATATATATATATATATATATATATATATATATATATATATATATATATATATATATATATATATATATATATATATATATATATATATATATATATATATATATATATATATAGGCTTGGTTGGGAAGCGGGAGCGATTGCTCTCGATTGCTGAACACGTAAATGATATTTAGTTGCGAAAAGCTGGCCAGTCTTTTTAGTCGTTTTGAGAACATTTTTAAAAGCAAAAAAAAAAAAAGGGCAAAAGATTAAATGGACCGATGAGACACAATTACAAAAAAAAAAAAAAATTAGGCAAATAAAATTACTTTAAACGCGATAAAACTTTAAGCTAAATAAATTACGTTTAGAACAAATATTTTCGAAACTCCGCTCTTTTATAATTTTTTTTCATAAAATTAATATGTTTTTTATATAAAGTAACAACTTACGGTTGTTTAAAAAAGAAACAAATGCTCTTTATTTAGCAATGTTTTTAAGTTGTAGTTTTATTTAAGCTAAATTATTTTATAAATTATAAAAAAGTTAATTTTTTCAACACCTATTTTATGTTTT